AAAAAAAACCCCACAAAAAACGACATTGCCCTTAAAAGGACTTACTATCTCACTTACCGATAAGAGGTTATTTAAAATTTACCTCTGATAAACGGAAAGTAAGTTGAATAAGTCCTTTATGAGCCTTGATTGCTTAGCCAGCAACACCAAGAGGGACAATAAGTGCCCAATGTTTGCATGGCTTGGTAAACAAGCACAGGTAGATTAACTTAATATTTTTCTGTCTCTGTAATGGATTTTTTTTTTGTTCAATTTTCTGTTCAAGGCAGAAAATGTATTGAAGTGGACAACCTAGACAGAAGGCATCCAGAAAGAAGGGCACTCTGTGGCAGTTGGTGGTGTGGCCGTCAAAGGAGAAGGAGTTTTACAGGAGAGTAGAGAAAGAATGGACCGGAAGTAGCTGTAAAGCACCAGGAAAGTGAAATTTCTGCTTTTCCAAACCCTATGGGACAAGGGCTATGAGCAGCCTCCAGGGGCCACAGAAGGAGGAAGTTATCTGGAGAAGCCTGAAATAACTGTCAGCATATGCTGCCAATTTATAGACTCCTGCTCAAATTTTCCAAAGTGTTTTAGTCTATGGAGCGGAGAGGTTCTCAGGGAATATGTGGTGTTCTCTGACAATGGCCGTGAGGTTCCTGTTTTGATTTTGAACAGGCACGGATTTCTCATGGTAGATCACTGGACTACCTCAACACAATGCCCTCATACAACACTATTGCAATTTCTTTTCTTCTTTTTTCTCTGTCTTCCTTTCTTCCTTCTTTCCTTCCTTTCTTTTTTGCCACACCTTATTATTATGTACAATATTATTTTTCCTCAGGATTTTGCATTCATATTTTATTTTTAAGCATTTTTATGACCTGTAAGTATACAAAGTGAAATAGGTTTTGTATATTGTATTTTTAGTAAGCTTTTTTAATTTTAAAGATCTTCTATTAAAAAAACTAAATCTAAGCGTCTATAATTTTCACCAATGAAATTATGTGCCTATCTGACAAGCACCTTTTCAAATAGACAAAAAGGTCCCCAAAAGACTAGATAGATTATTGTATAGCACTTTCAAAGTCTGTTTTACTCCAAACTAAAAACAAATGAATATACTCAAGTTGAACTAGTAATGTGAATTCGATATACTGCACTGATAGGACGGATGGCTCTAACGTTGCTTTCCTCTTCATTTCTCTCATTCTGCTACCAAGACACTGAAAATGAATGACTAAATCTTATTAGGATCTTGTAAAAGGCTATTCCTTCTAGATTTATACTAATGATTGTAGTTTTAGTGACATGTCCACCTCACCTAAAACTAATGTCTTTTAGAGAATGTTTGTTATAATTATAAAATATATTAATAATTGAAATTAAGGGGGAAATGTATAGTTTTCCTCTACTGAACTATACGGTATTCATTCCAAATTCTCTTTAATTTCATCACATTCGATTTGGACCAAACACAAATTTCAGAGGAATGAGATCATTTGTCTAGTTAGAGCACTATTAATGATAATATAGACAATCATTATGAACATCATATTTAAATTATTTGAATTTCAGGCCTATCACATTAATATATCATAAGGCTACCTTTTTATTGATGTACTTTGGAATTAGTCCTGAAGTTTCAAGATCATGCTTGTCTCCAGTCCTTTTGTCAACATAAATTGGTTTAGGCTTTTTAGCCACTCCCATAATGACATCGGCTGCATTTGTATTGATAAAATTTTTTTCACTCTGTATTCCCATGACTGGATGATCAGTTCTCAGTGGCACAGGAGGCTTTTTGGGCTCATTCCGATCAAATATTTTTTCTGTTAAACATAACATTACCTTGTTAGTATTCAACTATAAACATTGCTACTCAGTGCTATTTATAACATCCAGGTATTTTACCACTAGTATATTGGAGTTTTATTAATAATATATTCAAATATTTAAGGTAAAAAAATCAGTAATCATAAATGAAAAAATTAAGTGCAACATAATCAAT